CCCCATCCACAACGGAGAGTGAGCGGCGAGGGGCCATGCTTTCCCGAGCCGTCTCCATACGCAGGCGACGAGAAGAAGGGGCCGTCTGCGGCTCCTTCCCAGACAGGGTCTGGGAAAGGTGGTGCAAGCAGGGAGCAATAGCGCGGGTCGGGAACCATGGCAGTGGTCCAGACAGGGTTCTCGCGGTACTGCTCTATGCAACGGGCGAGGGCTGGAGTCGGGCCGAACCAACGACGAAATTCCACGAGCCCATCACACTCATACAGGGTGTGAAACACGGGGTCTGAGGGGGCGACCTGGCAAATGGGGCACATAGGTTTAACGTATATGCCCCCATATATAGATGTCCCCAGATCACGTTGCTGGAGGACACCCCATCCTTCATTCTTCTTAGACAAAAGGGAAAGAAGGGGGGGGGGGGGGGAAGGGGGGGCCAGACAGGTGACTGAAGGATGGGTGACGCTCAGAGGCCTGTTTCCAGGACCAAACAGACGCGTCGCGAACCACTAGTGCCACCACCTCACGGGGGGAAGTAGACGAAATATCAACATCGGTTCCAAGAGAAGTTCGCCATACTGTGGGCGATACCGCAGACCACCCAATTCTACGCATAGTGGCAACCAAAATCTGTCCTGGGCCCTGCAATTCCGTCCACGGGGTATCTGGCGCCACCTTGGCGTAGGCAAACTGGAAAACTTGGTCTATCATTCCGACAGGAAGAAGAGAGTCCCATCTAGAGACAGTCCAGAGACGAATAACCTCAGCATGTGCATCGATAGCAGGGTCTGTAACACCATGCAACGCCAGATCCATCGTGACAGACCTACGCTTACCTGCGCCGAGACCAGCGTGGTATATAGCACGGACCTGACGTATCTGGTGAGTAGATAGACCGACAACGTCAATGCCGCACATGACAGTGGGCTGCAAGTTAGTGTTTACAATACCTGCTACCTTTGCACCAGCCTTCTTTATCTTCAATTGGCGTCGGGCCTTAAATCTGGCCTTTTTCAATCGACCAGTAAGAACAGTGCGAGAACGCCGCCCCTGACGTAACTGGTAGTCAATCCCGAGGTTTCGACGCGAGAACTTGACTGCACCAGCGAGACGTGGAGTTTCAGCTGCAATGCTCTGAGCCAACTGGGGGTCAGTCGCCAAGGGCACGATTTTCTTCTTGGAGAGCGGTAAACATGCCGAGAAAGTAAGCTTGCTCATCAAAAGGTGCGACGCATCGGGACCGATTTTGAGCAACTCCCTCTCCGATCCTATCCCCAGGACCTGGACGTCGTCGGCGACGAGGCCAAGGTGCATATTTGGATACGACTGACGAAACGAATCCAGCTCGGGCATCAATAAAATACGCATAAACAGATCGGCAAAAGAGCAACCTGCTACAATAGTCTTGCTAGCTCTGGCCCACTCCCCAACAATTCGCCGCAGCGCGACAACGCGCGGGGAACGATGCAGAGACAGGAAAACCCTCAAGAGTGCTGGATGAAACCCAAACTCACTAGCACGTCTTATGAGAAGTTTATGGCGAACCTGTTCAAAGGCCTTCTGGATGTCGAGCAAGAGTGCAAACACAGACAAACCGTTGGCAGATGCTAAATCCGTGAGCACGCCCATGCGCCACACACATGCTTGGCAGGAATGACCGCGCACACCATACACGCACGGACGAGGATGCAATCGCGCCCGCATAGCACCATACGCGTGCCTGAAGAACCGAGAGAACGTGCGCACACACGTCGTGAACAGGGCAACCGTGCGCTCGCCACCATCAGCCTTCGGGATCAAATTCACGATGAACACAGCGAGAATGGGAGGAAATCGACCCAATCGCAGGACAGCGCGCCAGATACCAAACAGGGCCAGAAGAGACGAGTCGGAAAGCAGCGCATGGTGACGTGGCTGCATAGAGTCCAATCCCACCGACGTACGAGCTTTGTACCTGCGACACATCTGCCTGCACTTGCCCAGGGACGGGCGAAGCAAGGATGCAAGGCAGTCGGGCGGAAACGGCGGGAAATCCAGGGCTAGGCAAGGATCGCCAGGGTGCTCCTGCATGGGCTCCCAGATAGCATGCCAAACTCCTTCTCGCGCCTTAAGATGATGCTGCGGCGTACCGACTGGGGCATCTGGGTTCGGGGTGGTCTTGTCGAAGGAAGCCCAATCCATAGATCCCTTGACGAATCGGTGCGCAGCAGAACCCCCTTCCTGGACAGATCGAATGGCCCATGATGCCCAGGATTGGTACCTCTGTGCCGATGCTGCACGTTCCGGAGCAGATGCGGACTCAGCCAAGATACCCCGCAGCCAATCTATGGAACCAAGATCTAGGGTACCAAGCCTGTTGGCATAATACCTCCACCACGACCAATCGGGGGGAGGACCGCCATCACGCTGCGAAGGGCGATATCGGCGCAGGGCTTGTCAGGCTCTCCGATGCGCGGGCCACAGCTGCTTGTCAGCAAGATATAGAAGAGTTCCAAGACGGTTAGAGAGATACCTCCAGAGCCTTCCTTCGCATGACGAAAGTACACCTCCAGGAAACAGTCTGGAAACCGAAATCTGGATAGTCGAGGGAGGCTCACCCCACTTGGTGTAATCCTGCGGATCTGGCAACTGGAAAAGGGCAAGCAACTCCTGGGCAGACGTCTTCAGCCAAGAAGAGGTAAGACGCTCCAAATCTTCCACAGAGTTGACTGCGTCAGGATCAGGAAAGGCGTCCCAGGAAGGCGGGCAATTTGAACACCCCACTGGCCGAATAACAGGGATGTGCGGCGGACGCCGAAAAACCGATACCAAATCAGAGTGAAGATTTCCACGAAGGGTGAGAGCGACAGGCTGATGCTTGGGGATCAGGGGGGTCTCCCAGACCTCACACTTAACTGCTGCCGAGAGCAAGGGGTGAACCACAAAGTAGTCAATCAAAGACTGGGCACCCGCGGACTCATAGGCATGGCGATCTGGCGCGACAATGACCCCACCCATGAGCGTTAAGAAGTCCGTATTCTGCAAGTCCTTGGGGGACATGTTCCAGTCCCCTGATATAACAAAGGGGGTGGATATGGTCTTCATGACTGCTGCCACCTGCATCAGTAGCTGGGCATTGCGATCCTCGGCGCCTTCCCCCGTATGCAAATAGACAGTGGCCCAAGGGGTACCTGAATCCACGACCCCATGCCATAGCTTCAGGATAAATCTCTCTGGTGGGGGCATGACGACAATAGGATCCAGCACGACTTCAAAGAAAGACCTGGCATACTGCGAGACAAGGCCCACTCCTGAACTCAAGCCGCCTTTCTGAGTACTAACTGAGGGGTGGAGGTGCGCATGGAACCCATGCTTGTGAGCACGGTTGACTGCGAACTCGATAGCCTCTTCCGTACGACAGAGTTCTTGAAAACCAGCAGCATCAAACCGATCAGAATAAGCCTCCAGGAAAATATCAGCATTGGACCAGGAGGTAACATTCACAGTAACGATGACCCAGTCCCGACGCGGCTTCTGTCCGAAGGCTGACTTGTCGGGCGGGGTCTCCGATGTGTTAAAGGTCAGACGGGCCCTTGGGATTGGAGCCCTCCACCACTGCTGGGGTGTCGGCGGGGCCAGAGGTGGCGGCAGCCGACGGCGAAAACCTTCCTGACTGTCCCGGCTGATCAACTGCAGCATCAGGGGCATGAACGGGACGTTTCGGCGCAGGCGGCAGTGAGGAAGAGGAGCGGGGAGGAGCCTTGGCAACACGTGTTGGGGAACCTTGCTGGTCGACAGACATCCTGGGCTCCTCAGACTGGGACCGAGGTTCACTGGCAACACCAACAGGAGCATAGCCAGACATAACGATACCCTGGAGGTCCCGCAACGCCTGAGCAAGCTTCTTGTCTCTCTGCACTGCCTGGGAAGCTGCGAAAACATCCGCCACGGCTGATAGATCTGGGGGCGTGAAGCCCTCAGGGACTGGCTCGCTCGACGGGAGATCCTGCAACTTAGACTGCCACATAGCCATGTCTTGGGCGACCCGCTCCTGACGAGAGCAAAGGGCGTCCCTCTCGCTCTGAAGGTCCAGGATCTTTCGATCGAACTCACGGATCTGGCTAGATATCTTGTCAAACTTCTTACTTGCCCAGTGATGACGCTGCTTATAGAACGCACGCTTCTGGGGAACGGTAAGCAAGTCGGACTTCTGTGCACGGAGATGCTGCACCTCATCCTGGAGACCCGAGACCTGATCACGAACATACCTGGTCGGCGGAAGCAGGCGAAGGGAATCCAGCTGGGCCAAAAGGGCCTTGATAATCTGATCAATCTGCGTAACCGAGAGCTCATTGCCATTGGTGTCGACACAGCCGCCATCAACGTCGTCGTCGACGTAGTCAGCCCAAAAACCACGATCGCTGCCAAGACCGTCGTCGCCAGAGTCATACCCGAATCTATCCTGCACTTCCTCATCCAATGGAGCCTGAAGACGTTCATCCAAAGACCGAACTGGGGGAGTGGCAGAACCATCAACAACATGACGATCATGGAAACGAGCACGGGGAGGAGACAAGACACGCTCACTGCCACTGCCTTTGCTCCTGCCTTTGCCGTCTTTGTCGCCTTTGCGACCGTGCTTTCCTGGGACCTGTCTTTTGGAGCGGCCAGGAAAGGGAGTACTGCAGAACTTACACTTCTGGCGGGGGTTGGTGTCGGGGATCCACGAAGTCTTGCCAGCATCGCGACAGACGAGACAGACGAGATATCCCATGGCGCGCCCGTGCGGCTCGGTGGGCAGCACACACGCCAGAACCGTCCGAGCCTGCCGCACGGCTGCGGACAAGCTCGAAGCCTCGCGGCAAGGTTTCGAACTTGAGCCAAAATGGCTTGAGCCAAAATGGCTACGGAGAGGAGGAGGAGGAGGAGGAGGAGGGGTGGAGGAGGAGGAGGAGGAGGAGGAGGAGGAGGAGGAGGAGGAGGAGGAGGAGTTGGAGCAGGCTCCTCCCCTCAGAGAGGGACAGGACCTCGTGTGGGAGCGGCCCGCAGACACGGCGCCGGTCGGCGGGGACGCCGGTGCGAAGGCCGCGGAGGCGCCAGGGGAAGCGGGGGGGTAGTTCCAGAGATCGGTCTGCGGTATGTTGTTTGGTTGTAGTGGTTTTCCGCCGCAGCGTCTCCTCGACGGCCCTTCTGCGAGTCAAGTCCAGAGAAAGCCTCCAAACAATCGGGTCAGGCCGCAGTGCGCGGCGCGAGAAACGCAGCGTGCCGTGCCGCGTTCCGAGGTTGCCTCCTGTGCGCGAGCACGTTTTGAGGGTTCGTCACAGAGGCGAGGAGGGAGGGGCGGTGTGGAGGAAGGAGGTGCTCTCTTCTCTTCCCTCTTCCTGGTCCTCCCTCCCATCTCCTCCCCTCTGTGCCTGCTCAGTCCTCCTCTGTCGTGCCGTCTGTCGCCGTCGTTGTGCGTCGTCATGTCCTCTGTCGTGTCGTTTTGCCGCCGTCGTTGTGACAAACTGGGCCCCAAGCGCCTTGGACAAAGATCAAGACGGGGCTGATTGGTAGTTTCCTGCATCTGGGGGCAGTTTTCGGGCTCCGTCGCCGTCGGAGAACGATCCCAGGGCGAGAAGCTTGTCCCTAGGAAGCCGGGAGGTCTGGTGACATGGGAGACAATCAAGACATCCGAGGTCTGGGCAGGAGGACCATGAGAGAAGCTGGACGGATATGGACAGATTCGGGGTGTTCCAGGGCTTCCATGACTTCCATATGGTTTCCAACGGAGTCGCACGAGGAGGTCTAGCATTGAGGATCGACGCGATCCTCATCCATCCTCTTCCCCCTTGCCTTTCCCTCGTCCTTCCTTCGCACTCCCTCTCTGAGCCTATCCCTTGCCCTCCCTCCTCGCTCCACCGGCTGCTGCTTTTTTGCCCTTCCTGGGTTTCGTGCCCTTGTGGGCGCGCACGAGGCCGACATGGAGACTGGTGTCGCACGAAAGGGGATCGGGGATCGGGACAGGGGTGGGGTACGAAAATTGACCTCCGTACGATCGAGCTGGGTACGGAAAGAAGTGGTACGAAGACAGACGGCAGTTCTGGTTCCTTTTGACCAGAACTCGTTGCCGGCGTTGTCCATTTGAGACAGAAGGCCGTCTGCAGCGGCCGCTGGCGGTTCTGGACAACATCTGTCGTTGGGCCGTGCGGGCTTCCAAAGATGCCTGCAGCCGGTTTCGGCTCCGCCGCCGCGCGCTCCCCTCGGCACGCGGAGGCGCAAAGAGAGACCAGCAGCACGGAGCTGATTCGCGACCCCCCCTGCGCTATCTCGGGAGGAGGAGGAGGAGGAGGAGGAGGAGGAGGAGGAGGAGGAGGAGGAGGAGGAGGAGGAGGAGGGAGGAGTGAGGAGGAGGAGGAGGAGGAGGAGGAGGAGGAGGAGGAGGAGGAGGAGGAGGAGGAGGAGGAGGAGGAGTGAGGTTCAGGAGGTTAGCCGTCCCCTGAATACGCACGATGTGGCCAGCCTGGGCGCAAGCTGGGCACCCGTGTGGCCGCATGGCGTGGCCTGCCTGGGCGGCAGCTGGACGCACGCTTTTGGCCATCGTATTGCCGGGCGTGCCGGCCTTCGGCACGTATCTCCGGCGCGGGGCCTCCGCAACTTCCACACCGAAGCGGCGCGAAACACTTGCATACACATCAGAGTGAGGGGGCCGAACGGTCATTCATTGTCCCTGGGTGCGTGCCTCAACAGGGAAGTTGTGGTGAGAATTCTGCTTGTTGCGTTGTTGTTGTTGTTGCTGTTGCTGTTGTTGTTGTTGTTGTTGTTGTTGTTGTTGCTGAACTCTCATTCTTGAAGAATAATTAGTGTTGATCCCCCCCCACCGGTGCACATTGGTTTTTTTCGATTGAAGTGCCCCCCCCGGGGCTGGCACCTTGTTTTTTCTCAAGGAAAGTCTTCCTGCTCAAACTGTGCCCCTGCCCCCCGGGCTACAACAACAACGGCTCCCGCCTGAGACTTCCTCGATTTTTACTCAGGACCCCCGCTCCCGCCTGAGACTTCCGCGCAATTTACTCAGGAAAGGCGCTCCCGTTTGAGACTTCCTCGCAATGTAATCAAGACCCCCGCTCCCGCCTAAGACTTCCGTGCAATTTACGTGGGAACGGCGCTCCCGCCTGAGACTTCTTCGAATTTTACTCAGGACCCCCGCTCCTGCTTGACATTTCCGCGCAATTGACTCAGGAACGGCGCTCCCGCCTGAGACTTCCTCGCAATTTAGTGAGGACCCCCGCTCCCGCCTGAGACTTCCGTGCAATTTGCTCAGGAACGGCGCTCCCGCTTGAGACTTCCTCGCAACTTAGTCAGGGCCCCCGCTCCCGCCCGAGATTTCCTCACAATGTACTCAGGACTGCGCTCTCGCGTGCGACGTCCTCACAAATTATTCTGGAATTGCGTTTCGGCGCTCAGGAACCACGCACGCGCCAAGGACGCCTTCACAACGTGGTATCTTCCCTCTTCCTTCGTCCTTCCCCCTCCCCTTCCTCCCACTCTCCCTCGTTCTTCCCCTCCTCCTCTTGCAGGGCCCGCGCCAATTCCAATGGCGGGCAGAGAGATGTACGCCCCCGAAGGATTGTCCGCCCGTTCCGGTTTGCCCGTACGTCTAAGCCCGCCGGCCCCAGCAAAGAGAAATAATCCCCCCGAAAGGGGTGTGATCGAAGACGAAGAGGGCGGGTTTCGAGGGTGTAGGGTATACGTGTTGAATGACTCGCGGGCAAGTAAGAGCGTACAGCCTTAAAATGGTTGTTGTTGTTGTTGTTGTTGTTGTTGTTGTTGTTGTTGTTGTTGGTGTTGTTGTTGTTGTCGTCGTTGTCGTTGTCGTTGTCATTGTCGTTGTCGTTGTCGTTGTCGTTGTCGTTGTCGTCATCCCACCCGCGACCCACCCGCGACCCAACCCGCAACCCACCCCGCGACCCACCCCGCGACCCAACCCGCCACCTACCCGCGACCCACCCCGCGACCCACCCGCGATCCACACGTGACCCACCCACGACCCACCCCGCGACCCACCCCGCGACCCACCCGCGACCCACCCCGCGACGCACCCTCAAGGGAGGAGAATCCACCCGGACCCGACAATTGACGTTTACTAAACGGCCTTGGGCGTTTACTAAACAGCCCTAACTACCCTGTTCGATTTATTCTTTGTGTGCGTTTACTACACGGCTTCGCTCGTCGGGGTGATTATTATGGGGTGGATTCTCTGCCCTGTACACCCGCGACCCACCCGCGACCCACCCGCGACCCACCCGCGACCCATCTGCGACCCACCAGCGACCTACCCAGATTGGTTTAACGAAATCGGCGCCTGCGGCGGGCTCCTTGTATGATGTGTAGATACTTGGGCGCCTGCGGCGGGATTCTCCAGAGTCTCGCAAACTGCCGACGTCCCCACCGCCCCCATCACTCTTATCCGCATCTGCGTGGTGATACGTACACTTTTTGTCGGAGGTCCGCGCGGAGCGCGCCAGGGGCGACGCCGAGGGCTGGCGGTGGCAGCGGAGTAGCTCGAGTGCCTCGGAGGGGGGGGAGGTCTCGGATGGTGGCGCCACGCCGCAGAAGAAGGTGGAGGACTTCCTGGCCGCCGCCTCGGGGGGGCGAGCGAGGGCGCCGCACGAGGAGGCGGAGCGGAGGCAGGGGGAGGGAGGGGCAAGAGCACGGCAGGAGCTTGCCGTGGAGGACAGGGGTTCTGGAGGGCACATGCGGGGTCACTGGGGGATGTTTCGCCGTCTCCAGGCCTCTGGGGCCCCTCGGGTGCCCTCTCCACGGGCCCCCAGGGCCGTCAGAGAACGACGCGGGCCAGAAGGCTGGCTCTGGGGGAACCCCGGGTTCTGGGACTTGTTTCCCTCGGGACCCCATGTCCTTCATGGCGGGAGCAATGAGGAGGAGGAGGAGGAGGAGGAGGAGGAGGAGGAGGAGGAGGAGGAGGAGGAGGAGGAGAAACAGCACCATCACTGCGACATGCACGCGATAGGGCTCCAGAGTGGACGGCATCCGCGGGCGGCGCGCCGCGGTTCGCGGCTAGGACATGGACGCAGCGTGACGCTACGTGAAAGAGGTCGGCAAACACATAGGTTGTTGCGGGCCATCCCCATCAGGGAGATGTTGCCAGTGTATTCCAGCTCTGCATGGTGTGTGTCTCTGCAGTGTGACGTGTTATACAAGTGTGCGCATGTTGCTACTTGCGTATGTCAGTGATGCTGTAGAACACGCGCGTTGCTGGCAAAGCGTACCCACGCGTTGTAAGTGGGTATGCGACTTCGTTACATTGGTACAACATGTACGTATCGTATGGATGCGTGGTGCACGACCCATACCACGCAATGCCAGTTCAGTATGCACGGTCGGCATGTACGCCAAGCATGTGTTGTGTTTGAGATTCGTGCATGCATCTTCCTTGTGCGTACCCGATCCTCAGAGGCGCCGCCAGTCCCTCACTCGGGCGTTCCGGCGACGCCCGGACGGCTTCCGCAAGAGTCCCCCGTGAGCTGAGGCGGCAGGTGTCACGCAGGGCGCCCGCTGAGAGCCCAGCGCTGCGCCAGCGGCAGGGTGCCTCCCGTCGAGAACCCGCCTCCTCCGACGATGCCTCTCCCGCTCAGCAAGGGAGCGTTCAATGGGGGGGGGGAAGCCGGGTCAGGGCTGTGCACCCACAACCTGCAGCGGGGGCCCAGCGATTTCGAGGCCCCCGGGGGGACGCGCTGCGAAGAGACGTCAACTCCTCCTTGCCCTTCCTGGACCCGCCAAGGTGTCCAGCACCAGAAGCAGCGGCAGCTGGAAGCGGATACAGGGGAAGACTCTCCACCAGTTGGGTCTCGACTCGCTGGAGGCCCCTGTCCAGCCAGGCAGAGGGAGATGGGAAGGAGCATGGGATATGCAGAATATGAATGAGCAAGAGGGCGAGAGGAGGACAGTTGCCCTGAATCCCTCGAGAAGCAGAGCAGCAGTGGGAGCGAGTAGGAGATGGAAGGGAGACTGAGGCGAAGACTGCGCGAGCAGGATGAAGGCGAGGAGGTGGAGGCGAGGAGGTGGAGGATAACGAGATTGGCTGGCGGTGATGGTAGCAAGTCTGGTCGCTCCTTCGTCCCTTTTCCCACCTTTGAGCCCAAGACACGCCGTTTACGAGGACATCGTTCCAGCGTCGTTATCGCCTTCGCTGTATGTGTCTCTCTGGCCGTCCTCTTGTTACGCTGTACCGGATTTTTTTCGTTGATCGCTCTGTCTCTCTCTCTCTCTCTCTCGCTCTCTGTCTCTTCTTCTCTGTATATGAATGCCTGGGCGTTTGTCTGTCTATTTGTCTGTGCTTGTGTCTATCTGTCTGTCTGCCTGTCGCTCTCTCTCTCTCTCTCTCTCTCGCTCTCCCCCTCTCTCAATGTATATGTAGTTGTATGAATATACAGATCGGGTGCTTCAGACAGGACACCGCCTTTGTTGCATCTCGCCCTCGGCGGAAGCCAGCGGAAATAACGCGACGGAGCAAACCGAATGAAGAACACGTGACATGTGACAGTTTTGGAGGCGCCTGTACTTGTACGGTAGGTTCGTTGTGTCAATTGGCGGCGACCCCAGCGCGGGCGTTTAAGGTTGAACGCCGCCCGTGGCCCAGAATCGCCCATCGTTGAACTATCCAGCGTTTCTGGAACGGCCAATCGTTCAAGTTTGAACAATGCCCGCGGTGTCAGGAACCAGCGCCGAAGACGGCACGACACGAGCTTGCCGTGCACTTGTACTCGAGAGACTTACGCCATTCCGCCGACTCCAAGGGGAAAAACGAAGTCCACGGGTGAGCCCTTTTTGGGGCCGTCTTTGGGCCTTTTGGGACCGCTTCGGGCCTTCTCTGGCGCCTGCTGGCAGTCTCGATGGTCCTCTTGGGGCGGAGAGCTCGAAATGTTGGGACGTCTTGGACGTCTTGGAGCCAGTTGGGCAGTCTTGAGGTCATCTTGTTTGTTTGTGAGTTCCCCTCGGCTTGTTGGAACCCAGCTTGAGGCAACTGAGGGTACATGGAGACTAGAGTTGAAGGCTCTGGAGGCTCTGGGGGTGTCTCTAGGAGCCCAGGACGCCCCCCCTCCCCCCGCCTTCCACGCACCCCTCAAACGCGACATTGGACCCTGGGGATGAGGGAACAGGAGAGGGGGCATCAACATGTCTCACACGCCTTTTCCCTGTGGCAAGCGGGGGTCGTCGGATGTGCGTACCTAGATGTAGATGTAACTGTACATGTGTATGTGTACGTAGATGTACATGCCTATGTACATGTATACGTGTATGTGAATGACTAGGTATATGGTTATGTATATGGCTATGTCTATGTGTATGGTTATGTATATGTATATGGATATGGATATGTACATGTATATGTTCATGTACATGTATATGTATATGTATATGTATACGTATATGTGTATGCGTATGTATATGTATATGTATATGTATAGGTACATGTATATGTATACGTATGTGTATGTGTATGTGGCTATGTATGTGTATGTGTATATGTACCTGTATACGTATGTGTATGTCTGAACATGTAAGCATAACTATATATATATATATAGATACAGGTGTGCACAATTGTGCGTTGCCGTGTATAGGCGCACGTGTTCGCCGCCCTCCGCCGCTCGACCCCCCCCCCCTGGCTGAGCCATGCTATGGTTGAGCGGGGGAAGTCTTGGAGCCGTCTCGGAGCCCCGCAGGGGGCATCTTGAGGTCGCTGGGTGCACACTCGGGCCCTGTTGGGCAGTCTCGCTGTCATCTCGTGGGTCTCTGGGGCCCAAGCGGGGGAAGTCTTGGAGCCGTCTTGGAGCCCCGCGGGGGCATCTTGAGGTCGATGGGTGCACATTCGGGCCGTTTTGGGGCAATCTCGCTGTCATCTCGTGGGTCCCTGGGGCCCATCTACGGGGCATCTTTGGGCTGTCGTGTAGCCGTGATGGGCCGTCCTGGGCGAGTTGGGCAACATCGTAGGAGGAGGAGGAGGAGGAGGAGGAGACAGGATGGTTTTGCAGCGGCGGCAGTGGACGAGGATGAGGACGATAAGGCGTGGAAATGGGTACGAAGAGAAGGAGGAGCAGGAGGAGGAGGAGGAGGAGGAGGAGGAGGAGGAGGAGGAGGAGGAGGAGGACGGGGGGCAGGAGCAGGATGAGGATTATACATGGTCCAGGGCTTGGGCCCCCCCCCCCCCCCCAATGCTGATGCCATTGGGCCCCCCCCCCCCGCGCGATGGTCCCCCCCGCCCCCCCCTGTGGGCGTGGCGTGGTGCTGCGCTGCGGTGCCCCCCCCCCCCTGTGGATGTGGTGTGGTGCTGTGGTGGTTCAGAAGTGGGCGTGGCGTGGTGCTGCGCTGCGGTGCCCCCCTCCCCCCCCCATGGATGTGGTGTGGTGCTGTGGTGGTTCAGAGGTCGTCGTCGTCGTCATCGTCGTCGTCGTCGTCGTCGTCCTCGTCGTCCTCGTCGTCCTCGTCGTCCTCGTCGTCGTCGTCGTCATCGTCGTCGTCGTCATCGTCGTCGCCGTCGTCATCGTCATCATCGTCGTCGTCGCCGCCGCCGCCGCCGGCGTCGTCGCCGCCGCAGCCGTCGTCGTGGTCGTGGTCGTCGTCGTCGTCGTCGTGGTCGTCGTCGTCGTCGTCGTCGTCGCCGTCGTCGTCGTCGTCGTCTCTGGGACCATACCACCGGGGGGGGGGGCCCAAGGAATCCTGGGACCATACCATCTGGGGGGGGTAACGGTGACTTTTAAGACTATGTGACGTGATGTGTCTTCGGTGCATGCGTAGATCAGCGTTGTGTTTTCATATACGTGTTGATGTAGTTGTATATGTAGATGCTGATGCAGACGTTAACGATGATGCTGGTGTAGCTGTTGTCCTCTCGGTTTCCCCATTGTCTCTTGTCCTCTTGGTTTCCCCATTGTCTATTGTCCTCTTCGTTTCCCCATTGTCTCTTGTCCTCTTTGTTCCCCCATATTGTCTTGTGGACTCTTGGTTCCCTATTGTCTCTTTTCCTCTTGGTTCCCCTATTGTCTGGGGCCTGAGTGGGCGGGAGGGCCTCCCAGGAGTGCGATTGCCGAAACCTATTAAAACAAAAACAATGGAAACGCGTCTTGGAGCCTCGAAACCTGTGACACTACCCAAAGAATAACCCAAAACAACCAAAAAATACAAAACAAAAACCAGTGACACTACCAAAAAAACAAAAAATCAGTTTTCGGACCTCGCACTCCTGGCGGGCCCTCCTGGAGTCCGGAGCCGGAATGGGCAGGGGCCGAAAACCTTTGATTTTATTTGTTTTCCAATGACAGTCACAGGTTTCCTTTTCTTAGAGCCACGAAGCCTGTGACACTACAAAACAAAATACCAAAAAACACTAGTGACTACCAAACAAAACAAAAATCAAAGGGTTTTCAGACCTCGCACTCCTGGCGGGCCCTCCTGGGGTCCAGACTCCAGGAGGGCCCGCCAGGAGTGCGAGTTCCGAAAACGTTTGATTTTTGTTTTTTGTTAGTTTTTCTTTTTTTTTATGATTTTGTTTTTTTTTTTGCGTTTTTTTTGGTAGTGTCACAGGTTTCGTGGCTCGAAGATAAGGAAACCTGTGAGTGTCATTGGAAAACAATTAAATTAAAGGTTTTCGGCCCCTGCCCATTCCAGCTCCGGACTCCAGGAGGGCCCGCCAGGAGTGCGAGGTCCGAAAACCTTCGATTTTTGTTTTCTTTGGTAGTGTCGCTGTTTTTTTTTGTTTTTTGTTTTTTTTTGTGGGGGGGGGGTTTGTTGGTAGTGTCACAGGTTTCGTGGCTCCAAGACGCGTTGCCATGGTTTTTTAATAGGTTTCAGCAATCGCACTGCTGGGAGGCCCTCCCGCCTACCCAGGCCCCAGATGATAGGGGAACCAAGAGGACACGAGACAATAGGGGAACCGATTCCTTATGTGGATGGGCCTTCAAATATCGATTCCTTATGTGGAGGGGCCTCCACATATTGATTCTGTCTGTGGAGGGACCTTCACATATCGATTCGTTATGTGGCGGGCGATCTCCTTTTCCTCCTCCTCCTCCTGCTCATCCTCCCCCTCCCTCTTCCACTCCGGCGCAGGGGTTGAGGAGCAGAAGGAGCAGAAGGAGTAGGAGGAGAAACATGAGGAATGATATTGTTTCCTTTTGTGGGGGATCCTCCACATATTGATTCCTTATGTGGACGGGACCTCCACATGTTGATTCCGTTTGTGGAGGGACCTCCACATATTGATTCCCTATGTGCAAGGGGTCTCCATATTGATTTCTTATGTGGAGGGGCCTCCCACTTGTAGATTCTTTATGTGGAAGGGGCCTTCACATATTATCTCTTTCTGTGAAGGGGCGTGCACATATTGATTCCTTATGTGGAAGGGCCTTCAAACATCGATTCCTTATGTGCAGGGGCCTCCACAGATTGATTCCATTTGTGGAGGGACCTCCACATAATGATTCCATATGTGCAAGGGGCCTCCACAATGATATCTTGTGTGGAGGGGCCTCCCACTCGTTGAATCCTTATGTGGAAAGGGCATGATTCCTCTTGTGGGGGATCCTCCACATATTGTTTCCTTATGTCGAAGGGATCTCCACATGTTGATTCCGTCTGTGGAGGGACCACCACATGTTGATTCCTTATGTGCAAGGATCTCCATATTGTTTTCTTATGTGGAGGGGCCTCCAACTTGTTGATTCCTTATGTGGAAGGGGCCTTCACATAATGGTTCCTTATGTGAAAGGGCCTGCACATAGGGATTCCTTATGTGGATGGGCCTTTTTAGTATCGATTCCTTATGTGGAGGGGCCTCCACATATTGATTCCGTCTGTGGAGGG